CATCTTTCTCCCGCGGAGCAGCTGGTAGTTTCGAACAGCTGACCTTAAGGTTCGCAGCCCGATTCGTAACCACTACGCTACCAGAGCTCTATATATATATACACACACACACACACATATATACACACACACACACACACACACACACACATATATATAATTGTTGACCTTGCAGATTCTTTTGGCATCTTGCATGCACAAAACTTTAATATGGAATAGAAAAATCAATATTTAAAAATTATCCAATTATAGCCATTTAGAGCATAGTGATTATGAGTCGGACTGCTAATCTCACAGTCAGCAGTTCAAAATTACCAGGGGTTCCATGGGAGAAAAATGAGACTTTCTATTTCTGTAAAGATTTACAGGCTTGAAAATCCTGTACAGGTTCGCTATGAGTCAGAACTGACTGCATGGCATATAACCACCACCACATTCTAGTAGTCTACCATTCGTCTCTCAGATTTTTATAATATGGTGACTTGAGTTTTGTTGTTTATGCTGGAAGCTTTGCCACTTTTTAAAATACCAACAGAGTCACCCATGGTGGAGTTTTCAGCTGAGCTTCCAGACAAAGTAAGAAGAATGAGAACGGACTACTTCTGAATGTTTAATCACTGAAAATCTTATGGATAGAAAAAGTCTAGGTGTTCTGTACATTCTACTCTCTCTTCACACTGCTATTTCTAACTGCTTCAGACACACCCTCTCTCCTGTGACTGTTGTTCTTGTTAAGTGCCATCAAGTTGATTCTGACCCATAGCGGCCCTGCATAGGATTTCTGAGGAATGGCTGGTAAACCTGAAGCACTAGTCTTGCCGTTCAAACCGACTTTGCAATACAGCATACTAACCCACAGCACCACATACGGAACTTCATTTACTCATTGATACTTTTTTTTTTTTTTTTCATTTTCACAAAATATTTTTTACTATCTGTGTATCTGTGTGTGTGTCTGAAAGAGAGACGGCAAAAAAGAAAAAAAAAAAAAGAGAGAAAAACAGAGATAAAGATTAAGAGCAATCAACAAATAAGAAAGAGAAATGAAAGCTGTCAGAAAGTGAGCCAAATGGGAGAAGTTAACCAGGAGTCTTGGTAACCGATAAGTTAACTGATAAGTAACCATCTATTCTAACCAGCTTCCTAGCTTGGATAAGCAGTGGAACACTGTCTGATGGCCCCAGAAAATTGAATACTGAACTATTATTAGCAGTATCAGAATATTATAAGATACAGTGCCAGAAGATACGACCCTTAAGTTGAAAGAAAATCAAAACAGGACTGAGGGGGAACAGCATCCTCAAAATAGAGTTGCCTGATCCTGGAACAACCTCACTACTGTTGCCACGCTTTAGTCCATCAATGCTGCTACTTGGCCAATCCATCTTGTTGAGGGTCTTCCTCTCCAATGACTGTTCCCTCCTCACAATATGATATCCTTCTCCAATGACTGTTCCCTCCTCACAATATGTCTGAAATATGAGATATAAAGTTTGGCCATCTTGATCTCCAAGGAGAATTCTGGCTGTACTTCTTCCAAAATGAATCTATTGGTTCTTTTGGCCACCCATGGCACTTTCAGTATTCTCCTCCAACACCATAACTCAAAAGCATCAATTCTTCAATGGTCTACCTTATTCACTGTCTAGCTTTTGCATGCATATGAGGTTATTGAAAATACCATTGCTTGGGTCAGGCGCACCTTAGTCCTCAAGCTGACATCTTTGC